GCGGCCGATCGCGACGAAACTTTCAGTACCCTCGCATTGATCAATTTTACACCTACCCTGAAAATTTCATGACCCTGACCCCAATGACCTTTGACCTGTGACCTGTTTTCTGTGACCATGTTTGGCCGAAATCGCGGTTCGGCGCATGTCGGCTCGCATTAGCCGCGCGTTTGCAAGCTTTTCGTGGTTTCAAACGTTCAAACATGTGATTTGATGTTGCTCCCATGCATTAGGGTGGGTGTCAAGGTCACCTGAAGGTCAGGTCAGGTCATTGACCTTTGGTGACCTCGGGTGACCTCGGTTCACTTTTTCGAGTTTTACATGTTTCTAGGCTAGTTTTTGGAGCTGAATTCGAATTTAGCAACCACATTTACGAAGTAGTTTTGGTGCCTTCGTAACATGTTACGAAGCTGTCCGAGGCGGTGGATACGTATTACGAATACCCGTCACAACCCCTACCGGTTGACCTGACCTGACCTGACCCGACCTGGTCTAAATGCTTTAAGACATCATCTCTGATCAAAACTGACACGATATTCGTGATCAGCACCCCGGAAAACCACATAGCAGCCACACTTTACGACTTTCTAACAGGTCCCGATTTTCCCGGTTTTCGGGTCATTGACCTGACCTGGAAGGTCACCCGATGACCTAGGACCTTAAAATTGGGTATCATCGGCTTCCTCTCGTGACGGGCAACACGCTCGTTTTTTCCGCGAAGCTCTAGCTCGATCAGGGGCCAAACGCGAGGGGGGGGGTCGTACCAACCCCCCCTTGTGCCGTCGAAGGACTCAGAATGGGTCCGTATCAAAGCGTCCAAAACCGCAGCACCCAAAGTACGCAACATCCAAAACCGCAGCGTCCAAAGTACGCAACGTCCAAAATACGTCCAAAATCGGGTTTATAGGGGGCATTCACAAAGTCCAAAACCGAAACATCCAAAACCGCAACGTCCAAAAACGTATCATCCAAAAAACACAACATCCAAGGACGCAACATCCAAAGACGCAACATCCAAAGTACATAACCTCCAAAACCACACCGTCCAAGACCACGACATCTAAGGCACGCAACATCCAAAACCAGCCTAACCTAACCTAACCTAATCTAACCTAACCTAACCTAACCTAACCTACTGATTTTTGCCTATCCCTAACCTAACCTAACCTAACCTAACCTAACCTACTGATTTTTGCCTACCGGGGATAAGGAAACCCAACCTAACCTAACCTAACCTAACCTAACCTAACCTAACCTACTGATTTATGCCTACCGGGGATAAGGAAACCTAACCTAACCTAACCTAGCCTAACCTAACCTAACGGTTTTGGATGTTGCGTACTTTAGATGTTGCGTACTTTGGATGTTACGTACTTTGGATGCTGCGTCCTTGGATGTTGCGTTTTTGGATGATACGTTTTGGATGTTGCGGTTTTGGATGTTTCGGTTTTGGACGTTGTGAATGCTCCCTATATACCCGATTTTGGACGTATTTTGGACGTTGCGTACTTTGGTCGCTGCAGTTTTGGATGTTGCGTACTTTGGACGCTGCGGTTTTGGACGCTTTGATGGTCCCCCCTCAAAATGGCCTGTGCCGGCGAGGGTTAATAGCATCGGAACGTTATTTTAATCTAAGCGTACAAAGACCTCGTTGAAACTGAAAGAGATAAGGCTGATCGGCCTCGACGTAAACTGATCGGCCTCGGCAGTCGTGAAGCTTCTGTCAAAGCAGGTCCAATTTGACTGCTATGTAATTATGCAAAGCAGGTCCAATTTGATACTGGTAACTTTAAGACCACTGGAATGGAAGCAGTCGTGAAGTGAGACTGAAGTGAGACACCGAGCTTACAAACTAGTTCGGCTTGAGACAGCTTTTAGCCTGAAACCGATAGTGTCGTCACCGTTAGCATATTGAATGACAAACAAATTTGAAGAAGCAAATAAAGATCGCTGAAGACAAGTGGTGATGAACAAAGTTTCAATAGGGAACCGTTTAGCAAAGAGCTCCTCCAATTTCGAAAGAATGCTGTAATGCATGAATACAAACAAATCGGCGTCCTGCATTTGCATTTCGCCTACTTTCGGCTTTCTGGGCCCTTTGCCTTATGCGGCAAGTTACGCAGCGCTGACGCCAGTCTGCCTACCCCTGGGGAGATCCGCCCGCGATATCGTGACAGCGCGGTAGCACGCACCGCTCCAGTGGCGGGGTGGCCCGGTATTTGTCAGAGCTCAGAGCCGCGAACGTCGGCAGAATGCGGCGGGGGCGGTCGCTCGCAGGTCACGGATGGCGGCGGACAGCTGGGTGCGCCGAGGGGTTCGAATGTTGCTCAAGCTAACGAGGCGTGGCAGCCAAGAATGCAAGGACCGACAAAGCCACTGGCGCGTTCTGATATGGCGTCAGAGCGCAGAGGGGTTCACATGACTCAATTCGCAGGTTCAGATGCAAATCACGGCTATGTCATTGTTTTGCAGAATTAGAACGCTGGTGAAAACATTCCTTTAATAATATTAATTATCATAGTGAAATGTCAAAGGTCATACAGATAAAACTGAGTCGACACAATGTCATGGATTCGGGGATTTCGTCTGACGTGAATCACCACTGGCCAAAGCTAGCGTATTAACCCTCGCTCTGGCAGGGGGGTCGATGCGACCCCCCTTAAGGTTTTTTCGAAGATAGCGTAAAAACGGCGGCGCGCAGCGCCGCCAAATTTGGTACAGCCTATGGGGCAACCTTTTTACATATGACCTGAAAATTTCAGGTCTGGGTGACCTTGGGTCAGGTCACCAGGTCAGAAACACCGGTACAAGGTCATGGTCAAATTTCAATTTTCTTTTTGCACCTGTCCAACTCACAGTTTTGGACTGATTTCCTTCAAAGTTTCAGGATGTGCTAAGTTCACCGAGTTGTATAACATATAGTTCGTTTTTTTAGGTCACTGACCTGAGGTCAGTTAGAGGTCATTACGTCGTAATGTTAAGCCTATGGGAAAATACTAAATTCGGAAAATACTGGAGATATCCGCTTTCGTTCTATCACTTATGTGCTTTGAAACCACAGTACTTAACAGCAGGTCACTTGGTGCTTCTTTGTTTGGTGTACTTATCCATGGGTCCGGTCAAATGAGGTCAACTGAGGTCAAATGACGTTTTTGCCAATAACTTGGCACATAATGATGCTAGAGCTTAAAAAATGGTGTCATTGTGTTCCTGGTTATCAGCCGAATCGAATGATATGCGATATGATGCAATTTGGTTAACTTGAACTTAATTGATTAATTAAAGATTACTTAAAAATTAAGAAAAACTTTAAGTACACTAAAGCAAGCTAAAAAGTATACCATTCGACGCGCCTTGACGTGCTGAGTTTACTGGTGCTTTTCGTTTTGCTCTATCTTAATTAGATCAAAAGTTATAAGCGAAAAACTTTTGACCTGTTTTTAGCGAAATTTTTACATTTATACCCCGCAAAACCCCCCTAAATATTGACCTAGAGCAACCAAATTTGCACAGGGGCGAGAACTCCAGGTGGCCCACCTACCTACCAAATTTGGTGTTTCTAGGTGCCATAGGAGCCAATCGCGAGGGGGAGTCGCATCGACCCCCCCCCTGCCAGGCCGTGTTATGAAAAATGCCCTGCCAGGGCGAGGGTTAATTTTCTTTGACTCGATTCCCGGCGCGACCCAGTTCAGTGACGCCGCCCCATACTGTGGGAGTCGACTTCCGGTCATTGCACTTCAGAGACTGGACGTTCATGGTGCGCTGGCGAAGATCTTGAGTGCACTCTATCTCCATAGTTTGCTGCCAATGAGTCCCTCCGTCGGTGTCATAGAGCACAGGTCGCTAAAGGTCGCCCACACGCAGGCTGCACCGGAGGCGGTCATCACCATAATTGAGCACACCGCTGGGAGCCACGGGTGAACCGTCCCATTCCAGGTCACCTGGGGCCTAGACAAGCTCAAGGTGCTAGATAGGTCAGAGCTTGGAGCATTCTGGTCAATGGCAGATTGTTTGTTCTGCAAAGGGCAGAAGACGGGATAAGAGCCATCAGGCGGCGCCCACATCGGGGAGGACGCACAACAGAGGGATATCCAACATCCAGGATTGTATAATTGTTGTCATTCGCTCGTATACAATCCTATTCATTGCAGTAAAAATTAGGTAATTCGAAAAATAAACAGTCAATGAGCAGTTACCTGCATTTTGCCCTTTATTTATCTTATGTCGTTTTCGCATATCTAGGAATGTAAAATCGCTTTAGCATTAGCTGGGTGCGAAAGCTCGTTGTGTTGTTACTCAAAACATGGTCCGAGTTGGCCACCACGAGAGAGGGCCGCGCGCAGATAAGAACCATTTGGTGGTCTGATGGAGTCATAAACACTGCCCCCGACCGGGCAGGAATGGGTCCACGGCCAGGTAGGACGATCCATGGGGCCAGACACCAAGACCGGGTCACACTGAGCGACAGTGTGGGAGAATTCGGCAGATTGACAGATTTTGGAGATTCGCTCAGCAATATAGGCTTCATATTGTTCAACTATACAGCGAAAAGCATGTCGTTTACTGGAAAATATAACATACCTATGTTAGGTATATACTTCTTGGGCGTGAAGTGATGCATGCCCATTGCCCATTGCAAAAAGGGAGAGTGGCAGAGCAACCAAGCGGCAAGCGCACTGGGAACTCAAAGTTGAAAAACATTTGTGATCTTCACTCTTATACTTCAACTTTTAGGTACTTCTTTTATTTGAGTTTTAAACTCAAATAATATATATGTATCATCAACATCACTGAACACTGCAGTTCGAAGATTTCATTTTCTTTCTTCAAAATTTCAGCATCAACTAACTCTATGTGAGAGTCCGTTTGGAGAGGCGCGGTGGTGCTGGTTATCGGCGGTGTTCGGTGTCCGTATCCGTCGGCTGACGGGTCTGCAGCGCCGGCGGGCCCGGCTGCCCGGCGGCGGCCGTCTCCGGGAGAGCTCATCTCGGTCCACGGACGCGCCGGGCCGCCAGCGCTGCGCGGCTGCAGCGCCGGGATCGGCGCAGCAGCGCCGTATCGACCCACCGGCAGCCAGTGGCCAGCGGCGCGCCGACCGGCCGCCATGTGACCGCGCCGACCTGCCGACATCACCATGGAGCGGCCGCCGCTGCTGGCCATGGTGCCGCTGCTGCTGGCGCTGCTGGCCGCCAGTGGGGCCGCCGACCGCGGCCGCGCGCCGCAGGGCAAGCCGTCGCGCGTGATCCGCACCCGGCGCGGCAGTGTGCAGGGCGTCGAGGTGCACAACGGGCCGCGGCTGCCGCCCGTCGAGGCGTACCTGGGCCTGCCGTACGCGGCGCCGCCCACACGCTTCATGCCGCCCACGTCGCCGCCGAGCTGGTCGGGGGTGCGCGACGGCCGCTACTTCCGTCCCGTGTGTCCGCAGCAGCTGCCCGACCTCAGCAACCGGACGGCGGCGCTGCTCACCATGCCGGCAGAGCGCTACGAGCGGCTGCTGCGGCTCCGACAGTTCCTCACCGACGAGAGCGAGGACTGCCTCTTCCTCAACATCTACACACCGGCTACCGGTAGGTGGTCAGATGTGACTCACATGAATTGTGTCGATCGCAGAGAGGCGACTGGCGAGATTGTTCGTACGGCTTGTGCAAAATGGCGACGGGATGTATGAGTTCTGGGAAATGTTTGCCCTCTGTTTAGGCACTTACGAGTGCCAGTTTATACTTTGTGCTGCCTTTTGTTTGTAGAATGAAACTTGCGTGGCACTTCATCTCAATTACGTCTATTATAAGTCCAATGCCGCGGGAAATTGACTGCACCGCTCCAAGATAAAGGAGCCTCCGACTAATAGGCAAAACTGCAGCTTCTCGTAGTTGCGAGCTACAGTTGGAAACAGGGACGGAGCGCACTTGATGATGATTGAGGCTCAAGGAAGTCGTAACAATAAAGTTATATGGCTCTCGTACGAAGCGCACTTAATAAAACGACTGTTTTGCATCAACAAAATGTAAGACAAAAAAAGGGAGAACTTACATAAAGTGAACATTGACACATCAAATGACTCTCGAATGGCAAGGAATATGTCACCTGCATATTTAACTAAAATAAATAGAAATAATATGAATAGTTATGCATATGCAAACTAAAAAGCAGTGTCGTTGCTCGGCAAGCATATGCAATATGCATTCGAAATAATGCCAAGGTCTTCTTCGTTCCATTATCTTCCGAGTTCCACCAACCTCAGTGATTTCCATTTTCAAAGCGTCACATATGCGATGCCGTTCAAAATGATGAGCGGAGCCCCACTGACTCTTGGAAGCCGCGAATCCAGCGGGGCGGTCTCTACAGCACAGACTCACATTATCTGCTGCGACATTCCCAATCCCTGACCGAAACTACCATCACCATTTCCTGAGCAGAGCGCCAACTTTTGATTGCATGGCCGGGGAAATTCATTAAGCCACCTTGGCCGTGCCCTATTTTCTGAGACGATCGGCTGCACGGCTGAATGCACCGCCGACCACAACTGAGACGATGGTGACGTGCTCAGCGGCTGCTGAAGGCGGGATTTGACGGGGCGAGCCGCTGATATAACGGAGGGGCGTGGCGGAGGGATGCGGGGAGGGATGTGGCGACTGACGGGGGATATGACGGAGGATGTGGGGAGGGATGTGGGGAGGGATGGGATGGTCTTGGGGATGATGAGATGTAATTGAGGGATCAGGGATGTGAGTAGTGACGCACTACTACGTAAGATTATGATAGAGGGATGTAACGCAGGGATGTGACGAAGGGAAGTGACGTGCTACGTAGGGATGTGACGAAGGGAGGTGACGTGCTACGTAGGAATGTGACGAAGGGAGGTGACGTGCTACGTAGGGATGTGACGAAGGGAGGTGACGTGCTACGTAGGGATGTGACAAAGGGAGGTGACGTGCTACGGAGGGATGTGACGAAGGGAGGTGACGTGCTACGGAGGGATGTGACGAAGGGAGGTGACGTGCTACGGAGGGATGTGACGAAGGGAGGTGACGTGCTACGGAGGGATGTGACGAAGGGAGGTGACGTGCTACGTAGGGATGTGACGAAGGGAGGTGACGTGCTACGGAGGGATGTGACGAAGGGAGGTGACGTGCTACGGAGGGATGTGACGAAGGGAGGTAACGTGCTACGTAGGGATGTGACGAATGGAGGTGACGTGCTACGTAGGGATGTGACGAAGGGAGGTGACGTGCTACGGAGGGATGTGACGAAGGGAGGTGACGTGCTACGGAGGGATGTGACGAAGGGAGGTGACGTGCTACGGAGGGATGTGACGAAGGGAGGTGACGTGCTACGGAGGGATGTGACGAAGGGAGGTGACGTGCTACGTAGGGATGTGACGAAGGGAGGTGACGTGCTACGGAGGGATGTGACGAAGGGAGGTGACGTGCTACGGAGGGATGTGACGAAGGGGAGTGAAGAAGGGGATGTGGGCAGGGATGTGACGGATGGATAACAACGGAGGGATGTGACGAAGGGATGTGATGGAGGAATGTGATGAAAGGATGTAGGGAGGGATGTGACGGAGGGATATGACGGAGGAATGTGACGAAAGGATGTGACGGGGGATGTTGGGAGGGATGTCATGGAGGGATGGGAGGAAGGAATGCGACGGGGATGTGATGGAGGATGTGGCCGAGGCCGAGGGATGGGATGAAGGAATACGACGGAAGGATATGACGGAGGAATGTGTGAAGGGATATGACTGAGGGATGTGTGAAGGGATGTGTGAAGGGATATGACGGAGGGATGTGTGAAGGGATGTGAGGGAGGGATGTGTGAAGGGATATGACGGAGGGATGTGTGAAGGGATATGAGGGAGGGATGTGTTAAGGCCTGCAGGGATGTCACAAAGACAGTGGTCAGTGACAGAGATATACCTAACGGAGAGCATGCTGGATAGATATTTCAAAGGGATGGGATGGATAAATGTAACGGACGGAGCTGACTGTTGGATGTGACGATGAATTATTACGGAGTGACGAAACGCCTGGCCTGTGGCCAGTTTATAGCTGGTTGGATGTGTGATCAGCGGCTCACGACGTTGGAGAATATACGATTAGCGGATGTGACGGGGTATGACAGAACACCGCAAGCGTTCCCTTCTCAAAAAGTTGCAAATAGCTTTAATGAACCTAATAACTGTTGCCAGACCATCACTTGCTTCCTCATCTGTTCATATATTCGAGTTCACTTCACATGTCGTGGGAAAATGAAATAAACTTAACGGTGTTGGTAATATTGCAAATTTTCCTCTTTCGGGACCAGGAGGTAAGCGACTGATGATACAATAATGGCGCCCAATAACTCAGACCCTGCAGTTGGACTGTTCCAATGGGCTAAACTAAACATCCAGTGGCACGCGACTCGCCGGGACGCTAGATCAGCCCGCTGCCCAACCGTAACCCGTAAGGAACCCAACCGTAACCCAGCCGTAACCCATGAGGAACCCAACCGTAACCCGACCGTAACCGTTGGGAGAAGGTCGCCTCTGTAGTGTATGCAACACCCGAATCGCTCTTGGAACACCCATATGACCAATTTTGTGAAAGAAAAGCGAACTTTACTGATCTATGATCTAGGTATTGCCACCGGTAACTCGCGCCAAGATAGGTCTGGCAAAATGGAACAGGTATAGAGGGAAACAGGTCTAAATAACAATGCGTAACAAACAATGCATCATTGGCCATGATGACTAACGAGCTATAAACAGCTACGAGCAGATTTGTAAATATTATGAATTATAAGTTGTCCGTGCAATCTCCATCCGTGTGTCATGTCTTATGTGTCTTATTGCGCCTGAAAGGCGCCGCGTATCGGCGTGAAATTTGGCATGTCGAATCTGTGGGCGTGGGCGGCCTTTGTATTAAAATTTGGGCGTGATCGGGCCAGGGGTGCGCCGTCAGCACGTGCAAAAGGGCGCTCTCATAGGGATAGCATTGTGTCGGCGAGAGCGGCGGTCGGCCGAAAATCGGGCCGACACGGCTCGCTTTCCGGCTTGATATCTCGGCAACGGGTGATTGCAGCGAGAAGCGGTTTACACCACTCGATAGAGGAGAGATGGGCCTAGCGTATTGACATGGTTTCATAGTATAGCACGCGCCACGTGCAAGACCAGAGGTCAAAAAAACTTATTTTGTGTCACCTACAAAATTTTTCAACCCCCTTTGTGTCCCCTGCCCCCGGAGGCCGGATAAGTGTTGCACTAGGGTGGTAAAATTGGAAAAATTCTAGGATTCATCAGGCCAATGTTAATATTAGTGTCGCCAATGTTAGTGTGGCCCTAAACCTGGATAATGTATTTACGGAGCGAGCGAAGCGAGCGGAGTCTTACGTAGAATAACGGAAATTTCTGAGTATGAGCGGCCGGCCGTGGTCACGATTCTGCGACGCTTATATCTCAGCAACCACTTGACCGATTTACATGCGGTAATTTTTGTAGGGTAGCTTCATTCCTTCTACCAAGTATTGGACTATTCCCGATGGATGTGGGTGACCCCTTATGCACGTGCCACGTGCAAAACGAAGAGGTGTCACTTTTGTAATTGTTGCAATATCTCGGTAACTACTTGGCCGATTGCGCTGAAAGTTGGCATGTAGGTAGGCACCCACTAGGCAATGCATATCCATGTGCCAGAGTTGGGGTGCTGCTGCACGTGCGCACGTGCAGGGGTCGATTCCAGATCTCGAGAACGGCTGGACCGATGGCGCTCAAATTTGGCACATGGTTAGGGACCGGTTAGTAGGGTGCCGTGCAAAAGTCAGTTGGGACCCATTTTGCACGTGCGCACGTGCAGGGTGCCGCTTCCAGATCTCGAGAACGGCTGGGCCGATTGTGCTCAAATTTGGCACATCGCTAGAGACCGGTTAGTAGGGTGCCGTGCACAAGTCAGCTGGAGGTACCCCCTCGAAATTTCGCACGTGCAAGGCTCACCCTCTCGCTCGCTCCGTTAGTCGCCCCAAAAGGCGTTATACTGGTATTACAGTGTCCCAAAATTTGTTGATTTGGGTGGGAAATACTGAGATTCATTTGCCACTCTCACCACCAATTTCTAAGAGCAATTAACCACTCTCAGCCAAGAACACCTTGTTACCTCAAAAGGCAGTTCAGGTGTGGTGGACTTGGACAAGTGGACAGGTGTGGTGGACTGAGTTGTGTGGATACTTGGAGTTGGTTTATGATCATAGACACTCATGGATAAAAATAAACGTTATTGATCTTTTCTCACTCTTTTTGTATCTAATCTAACCAGCAGTTTCCACCCTCTACCCCTTTTTGGTGGATAATATCCCCCTCTGACACCCCAGCCAAAACTCAACTTTGGGACACTGAATGCATGTGTAACTAATCTTGTGCAGATGCATTTAAGAATTGCTGACATTCTATTTTACACTTTTCCATAATACATTTAAATTTGTGTTCTATATGGTGGGATTTCACACCTGTTATGACATAACAAATAATAGGAGCCTATGTATAATACAATATGCCTACCTATGCAACATGTTGCAAAAGGTTCCTTTTCCA